CTCTCTCTCTCTCTCTCTCTCTCTCTCTCTCTCTCTCTCTCTCTCTCACACACACACACACACACACACACACACACACACACACACACTATAGAAATGGTGCAACTCACTTAACAGCCACCTCATTTAGCAATGGAAGTTTTGGGCCCCAGTTGTCATCATAAGTTGAGAACTTGAGATGAGGGGGCGGCTGACTATGCCTGCAAGAATGCAACTTGGAAGCCGGGGATGTTTTGATGGTTGTAAGTCAAGGACTTCTTCTGTCCCAGCAGGAGCGTCAAGGTTTCAGTTTCAAGCAGGGGAAGAGAGATCTTGGAGGCATTTCTTGAAGTCTGCTTGCTCTCCTTTTGGAAGCAGAATCGATGGAAACTTCCGGAGTCCAGGAAGTTGAAGACCTGTCAATCTATTCCTGCTAAGCTTCTCTTTAGGGCACCAGCCCAAATTCCTTCCGGTCCAGATTCTTTGCCAAAATCTTGCCCTGCTCCATAGCTGTGCATGAATGTCCTGTTTTTCATCGGGCCATGATCTCTCTAGGAGTCAGAACAGAGTTGAGAGCGGGTCCTTGTAGGTAATCTAGTCCAACCCTCCGCAGGAGACCAGACCCCATTTCTGACAGATCTATTTCCACTTAAGATGGGAAACAGAAGGCCTCTGGTCCTAAGCTTGATAGGGCTCTTCATGGTAGTCCTTGACTTATGACTACCGTTGAACCCCGAATTTATGTTGCTAACCAAGACATTTGTTAAGTGAGTTTTGTCCCATTGTTATGACCTTTCTTGCAACAATTTAAAGGTCGCAAAAGGGGGTCACATGACCCTAGGACACTGTGACCATCGTAAGTATGAGTCAGTTGCCAAGCATCTGAATTTGGATCATGTCACCACGGAGACGCTGCAACAGTTATAAGCGTGGGTGGGATTCAAATTTTTAAACAACTGGTTCCGTGGGTGTGGCTAGATGGGCGCGGCTAGATGGGCATGATCATGTGACTGGGTGGGCATGGCTTTCTCTTTTTTGCAGCAACCCCCCCCTCCCATTTTTTGTGCCTCCTGGGCCTCAGGGAAGCCTCCTTGGGGGGCATTTTTGCTCCCCAGGAAGCTTCCCTGGGGGCCAGAAAGGCAAAAAGCATTATTCAGGGTGGGGGTGCAGCTCCTCCCACCCCCTACACCCCTTTTTGCCTCCTGGGTCTCAGGGAAGCCTCCTGGGTGAAGCAGTAAGACAGCGAGGGGGATGCCGGCACAGCTGATCATCGGAACAGCTGATCGTTGGGAGGAAAAAAAAAAGAAATACCTTAAGGAGTGACTGGACGGGGAAGAACGCAGTCAGTGATGTGCGATGTTGTACATGCGTGATAAGGACCGACTGGGTGGGGAGGGGAGGGGAGGGGTGGGAGGAGAAGCGTGGGGCCAGCCAGGGACACGATTTGCCAGTTCTCCGAACTACGGCAGGATTCTACCAACCGATTCTATAGAACTGGTCCGAACTGGTAGAATCCCACCCCTGGTTATAAGCATGAAAAATTTACAGCTCGGTTGTTGCTGAGTTACAAACGTGGCAAAAAAAGTCGTAACATAGGGCAAGACCCAATGAACCAAGTTCTCACTTAGCGACATAAATTCCGGGCTCAGTTGTAGTTGTATGTTGTCAAGTTGTAAATCCGAAATGAACTCGTGTAATACGGGAATAAACAAACACACAGGTTGCCTTTGACTTCCGACGATTTGTTTTGCAACCGTTCAAAGTTACCACAGCGCTGAAAAACAGCTGGCTTTCAACCAGTCCTCACACTTATGACCGTCGCAGCATCCCCAGGGTCACCTGAGCAAAATTTGTTGATTGACAGTTGCAATATCCCGGGTTCATGTGTATGTCATTTGCAACTTTCCCAGCCAGTTTCCGACACGCAAAGACAATGGGGAAAGCAGAATTTGCTTACGGACTGTATGATTTGCTTAACTGCTGCCGTTTCAGTCAAAACCTGCCTCAGGAAAGGTGATAAAATTGGGTGCAACTGAGTTAACAATGGCCTCACTTAGCAACTCTCCAGAGTCTGGGGAGGGCAAACCCCCCCCCCCCCCCGCCGCCATGGTGCAGGAGGCTGACTAAGCCATGCCCACCACAGCCACGGCCACCTAGCAACCAGGCACAGAACCCATTGCTAAAAATTTTGAAGGCCACCCCTGGATACGACCTGAAAAAATATATATGCCATTTTGGAAGCAGTTCTTTTCACCCCTGAAATGTCTACCTCATCCCTCAGCAACCCCAGGCCCAACCTTTAGAAAAAACTCTGCCACGATGCATGTAGCACAATCTTGACCCTGCTTTCCGAGGTTCATGGAAACGCAAAAGGTTGACTCTCCATTCTCTGCCAATTTTGCCTTCCGTGGTTGGCCAGAAACAGGCTGGCCTTGAAAGGCTATCATGGGAGCCATCTGCTCCTCCTTTGGCTCGTCCCAACTTACGTCCTTTGAGTCCTTCACTCAAGGACCTAGGGGAGCCTTGAGCCTCTAGTCAAACGTGGCGAGCCGGATAACATCTAGTCCTAGTTACATTTAATTTTTTTCCCCATGTGTTTTGACTCCTTCCTCCTTTGACCCGCCATCTGTGGTGGCTTTCAAGGAGAAACGAGAAAGAAAGAACTCAAATGTCATCGGGTAAGGCTCAGGGTCATCTCGTGGCCTTCCTTCTACGGAGCGGGGGCATCTAGCCATCAAGAGGCTGAGACAGACGGGGAATCCAGCCAATGTTTTTGTCGGGAAGGCTTGCTTCCAGAACCCCCCCCCCTCCAAACCTACCCCATGCCTGATTGGCGCAACAGCAGCAGCATGCTTGGTAACCGAGACTTTTGTCACTTGGACTTCAGGGCATGGCTCCATTAGCAGCAGCTGTCTGAGCTCATCAGCCTGGGGCAGGAGCGTTGGGGGAGAAGAATCTACCCCTCCCACCTCTTCTCCTCTTTGGCTGATTTTTATCATCTATCACTGCTTCCTTCCTCCCTTCCTCTCCTCCCTCCCTCGCTCTCTGTCTTTCTGTTTTCTTTTCTTTCCGTCCAACCTCCCCGCAGCTCCTCCACGATTCTCATTCGGTCCCTCCAGAAGGCAACCCCAATGAGAGCTTTTCACCAGAGCTCCGGAGGAGCAGCCGTGCACCAGCTCTGTGCACGCAGGCGAGGAAAGAGCGCAGCAGCGGAAGAGAGGAAAGAGGGAAACACCAGGCGACTGGCTTTTGTTGGTCCTCGGTGACAAACCAAGGTGGGGGGGGGGCCTGCTCCGGTAGAGAGGCAGGCGTGAGGTCTTTGGAAAGTTGTGCTTTGGAGTTCCTGGACTTGGCTGGGAAGCCAGGGAATAAAAAAACAGACTTGCAGCTGGTCTTCTCCATGGACAGGAGGGATTTTTCGGTTCCATGAGACCACCTGAGGAATATGCAAACTCCTCTCCGAGAGGAAGGCAGCATCGCAACTCCCTAACCCAGAAGGGAATAAGGTGGGTTTGGGTTTGGCTCTTTGGGTTTCTCTGAAGCCCTTCCTGGAAGTGAGGGCTGAAGAAAGAAGGAGTGGAAGAGACCCAAGAACTCCATGCCGGTGGCCAAGATGAGTGAGACGCTTCAGCTGCCCTCCTTGCAGGTGTCCGAGCCACAGGTGGCGGAGGAGCAGGGGAAAGCCTGGTCCAGTTCCTCCACTCCGACCTTGCGCCGAAAGCGTTTCAGGATGCGCCGTGCCAGGAACGCCGAAGAGCTGAACCCGGAGGCCGCTTCTTCCTCCTCCTCGAAGGAGTTCCTTCAGCTTCCCTCCATCGAAATTACACCCTCCAGCGATGAGGACACCCCTCCTTGGTCCAACTGCTCCACGCCGAGCGCCTCTCCCCGGCGCAAACGCTTCCTCATTCGGAAGTGGTTGACCGTGAGGGAGAAGAAAGAGTGCAGTGAGAGCAGGTAGGTGGGCCTCTGTTTATTCCCCTCCGTCCTCTTTTCATGGTTTCCATTCTCCAACAATGGTCCTTCAGGCAGACCTTTCTCTGAAGGTCCTGTAGTCCAGGTGTCCACCATGTTTATGTCGCTCTCTCCTGGCGAATCTAGATCAGAGGTCTCCAAACTTGGCAAGTTTAAGACTGGTGGACTTCAACTCTCAGAATTCCTCCTCCAGTCATCTTAGCTCAGGAATTCTGGGGGTTGAAGTCCAGCAGTCTTAAACTTGCCAAGTTTGGGGGACTCCTGCCCTAGATCCATCTGATGTGTCTTTGGTCTTTTTTCGTGGTCTTGTTTCGCACCCAGGACAGCTAGGGTCTTCGACTTACAACCACAATTTGAGCTCCAAATTTCTACAGGCTAAGCGAGAGGCACTTGTTAAGTGAGTTTTGCTCCATGTCACGAGCTTTCTTGCCCCGGCTGTTGTTAAGTGAATCACCACCATTGATCAGTTAGTAACCTGGTTGTTGAGTGAAGCTGGTTTCCCCCCTTGGACTTTACATGTCTGAAGGTTGCAAAAGAGGATCACGAGGCCCCGGGACATGGCAACGGTCATAAATGTGAAGCAGTCACCAAGCGTTGTAGATTCTTGCTTTCTAAGATCCTTAGAAAGTTTGGGAGGAAAATTGGATCTTGACAGACTTGAACACTGGGCCGTACCTAACAAAATGAAATTCAATGTAGAGAAAAGTAAAGGCTTATACTTAGGCAAGAAAAACCCAAAAGGATACATACAGACTGGGTGAAATCAGGTTTAATAGCAGTAACTGTGAGAGGGATCTTGGAGTCTTAGTGGACAACCAGCTAAATATGAGCCAGCAGCCAAAAAAGGCAATGCGATCCTAAATTGCATTAACAGAAGGATAGAATCAAGATCACTGGAAGTACTAATACCACTCTATAAAGCCGTAGTAAGACCACACTTGGAGTACTGCATCCAGTTTTGGTCACCACATTGTAAAAAGATGTTGAGACTCTAGAAAAAGTGCAGAGAAAAGCAACCAGGATGATTGTGGGACTGGAGACTAAAAGAGGAACTGGGCATGGCGAAGAGAAGGACCAGGGGAGACATGATAGCAGTCTTCCAATATTTGAGGGGCTGCTCCAGAGAGGAGAGGGTGGGGTCAAGCTATTTTCCAAGGCACCTGAAGGCCAGACAAGGAATGCTGGAGGGAAGGAGGGAAAAGACAACACAAACCAGGCAAGATAAGGGCTGGAGGACTTCCACAGATAACAGAACACACACTGGGAAGGATGCCAAACTCAGAGAGGAACCATAAACTAGAGATATTTCCACGCTTTGTTTCTAGCACTCGTCCATACACATGTCCGTCCTCTTATTCAGTTGTCACAGCTGAAGAGGATCAAGGCCCTCTCCTCCCAAGTAGACCACATCTCTCCCTTATCCTCTCCTCCCTGTGTGCCCTAGGATGGAGAGGGGATGGACCTGGGTCCTCCTCTGACTGCCCAGCCGGCCTCTGCCCTTCCCCAGCCTCCTCCACAACCTCCGGAGCCACAATTCCACTCCCTGTCAGCTGTTCCTCCTCTCCCTCGGAGTCAGTCTCCACCAGGGGCATGATAGCTTGCGCTCAGAAGTTGTGGGAGCACCATCACTAGAGACCTTCAAGAAGAGACTGGATTGCCATTTGTCAGAAATGGTGTAGGTCTCCTGCTTGGGCAGGGGGTTGGACTAGATGACCTACAAGGTCCTTTCCAACTCTGATTATCTGTTACCTGTAAACCTTTGTTATTTAGTCCACTCCTTTCTGTCTAACAGAAGTTCATCAGATGTCTTCAAGAAGCCCAGAGCAGTATCTGAAGCCAAAATGTTGTTTTCTTCCTGTTTGTATCTATCATCTGCTCTTTAGAAGTATCACATGTGTCAGAGCATTGTGCAACTGTCTTTAACAGTTTCTTCTTGGTCAACAAAGCTTCAGGTCCTCCTTCTCTCCTGGGTTGATTTATCTTTTTGAAACGGCATTCGGAAAAAGGCTAAGGCAAGGAGGCACGGATTAGTGAGACCAGCATGCCGCTTGGGCTCTTCCAAATTCCTTCGGCGGTAGCCTTGGAAAATAAACATGTTGGACTTTTAACATGACGTTCCTTCTGGGTTCATTCTTGATGCATGAAGTTGCTAGCTTCTCAGGCAGGGGGATGGAGAAAGGAACTCATTCACCCCTGGCGATGCTAAACCAGATGAATCACTACAGTGAGAAGGAAGTGACATGAACTGAAGAATAACAGAGTTGGAAGGGACCTTGGAGGTCTTCTAGTCCAACCCGCTAGTCAGGCAGGAAACCCTATATCATTCCAGACACATGGCTGTCCAATCTCTTCTTAAAAACCTTCAGTGTTGGAACACCCCCAACTTCTGGAGGAAAGTAATTCCTCTAATTAATTGTTTGGACTGTCAGAAAGTTTCTCCTTAGTTCTAAAGTTGCTTCTCTCCTTGATTAGTTTCCATCCTTTGCTTCTTGTCCTGCCTTCACTTCAGATGCTTTGGACAATCGGTTGACTCCTTCTAAGCAGAGCTAGATGGGTTTGACTGGAAGACCATCTATTAAAGACACGTCAGTCAATCATGTCAATAATAGCGTATTGATGGCAGTTGGAGATCAGGAGGAAGGCTGTTTTGGGACCTCCAAGGCATGGAATATCTAAATCAGTATTTCTCGACCTTGGCAGCTTTAAAATGGGTGGACTTCAATTTGCAGAATGCTGCCTGGGGAATTCTGGGAGTTGAAGTCCTCCAGGCTTAAAGTGGCCAAGGTTGGAGACCCCTGGTTTAGTCAGCCACAGAGTTTTTAAATGAATCTGGATTCTCCCATTGACGTTACTGGTCAGAAGGTCGCAAAAGGGAATCACGTGCTTCTTGGACATGGCAACCATCATAAGTGTGAAAAAAGGGTCATAAGTTACTTTTTTCAGGGCCATTGTAACTTTGAATGCTCACTCGGTGAACCGTTGTAAGTTGAGGACTACCAGTATGAGTGGTTGGAAGTTGTGATCTAAGCCAGAGTGTCAAGTCTTAAAACTCTTTCACGGCTGCCCATGTTAGCTGATGCAAGCTAAAAACTCTGTTAAGAAAGAAATGTTTGTTGGATAAGAATGTAATTTAACAGATTAACAGAGTTGGAGAGGACCTTGGAGGTCATCTAGTCCAACCCCACCCCCTGCCCAAGCAGGAGACCCTACACCATTTGTAACCGATAGCTGTCCAGTCTCTTTTGAAAGCCTCCAGTGATGAAGCTCCTACAACTTCTGAGTAACAGAATAATAACAGAATAACAGAGTTGGAAGGGACCTTGTAGGTCATCTAGTCCAACCTCCCCACCCAAACAGAAGATCCTACACCATTCCTGACAGTTGGCAGTCCAGTCTCTTCTTGAAAGCTTCTCTTCAGCCTCCAGTGATGAAGCTCCCACAACTTCCGAAGGCAACTTCTGTTCTGTTGCTTGATTGTTCTCCCTGTCAGGAAATTTCTCCTTATTTCCAGGTTGAATCTCTCCTGGTTCAGTCTCCGTCCATTATTTTCTTGGAAGGATCCTAGTTTGGCAAGGGAGTTAATAAGTAAACGCACTGTTCACATAATCACCCGCATGAAACTCTTGCCAAGGGGCATCGCCAGAGCGGCAATCCAAGCCATTGTGGGGCATTGCAAAAAAAATTTAACACCTTGATGGTGGATTCTTTTCGGGCTCAGAAGGACAAGGGAGTTCACACCGCTACATTTCTCAAGTTGGTTAAATAATTCTTCCGCCACTTCTTTAAAAAGGAAAAATAGATAAAATGTACCTGGCAAGGAATCGCATCCTTTCCCTGCCATGGGTACTGAATAAAAAGACAACTTCTCACCAAGAATAATTGACAAGACCTCGGGGAAGAGATCAAGGGAATTAAAAAAAAAAAAGAATGAGAGAATATTTCAGCATTCTGTCCCACCGTCTCGTACAATACAAAACACGTCTCCCTGTTTCTTATTTTTCAGAGACCATCACTCACCCACTAGCTACTAATGAAAGGAAGCCGAGCTCTGAGTTTGCACGCCACGTTTTCAGAGTTTCACAATTGGAATAATTCTAAGGCTTTGGTGTTGAGTTGTTAATTAACTTGAGGTGGAAAAGAGAGAGAGAGAGAGAGAGAGAGAGAGAATGGCTTATTAGAGGGAGGGGGAGCTAACCCGGAAGGCAGAAAGGTCATTGTACATAACATCTGGATGCAAATTGTTCACATCACAATCCTACCTCTAACCTAGAAAGATGTTCCTTTAGATAAGCCCTTCTATTTATGATTTAGCAGAAGAGAATAGCATTAGCCCCTAAACTTATACATCGCTTCACAGGGCATCACAGACCTCCCTAAGCAGTTTACAGAGTCAGCCTATGGCCCCCTTAACAAACTGGGTCCTCATTTTACCCACCTCAGAAGGATGGAAGGCTGAGTCAATCTTGAACTAGTCAGAATCGAACTGTAACTGCGGGCAGAGTTTGCCTGCAATAACCATAGCAGTAGCACTTTGACTTATATACCACTTCACAGTGCTTTACAGCCCTCCCTAAGCAGTTTACAGAGTCAGCATATTCCCCCCCCCCCCCCAACAATCTGGGTGCTCATTTGACCTACCTCGGAAGGATGGAAGGCTGAGTCAACCTTGAGCTGGTCAGGAATGAACGCATGGCTGTGGGCAGAGTTAGCTCGCAATACTGCATTCTAGCCACTGGGAATGAATGAATGAATGAATGAATGAATGAATGAATGAATGAAGGAAGGAAGGAAGGAAGGAAGGAAGGAAGGAAGGAAGGAAGGAGGGAAGGAAGATAGCAATAGCACTTAGACTTATATACCACTTCCCAGTGCTTTTACAGCCCTCTCTAAGCAGTTTACAGAATCAGCCTCTTGTCCCCAACAGTCTGGGTTTTCATTTTACCGACCTCAGAAGGATGGAAGGCTGAGTCAACCTTGAGCCA